ATTTATACCGTGTTTCACCGAAAATAAGACAAGGTCTTATATTAATTTTTGCTCCAAAAATGCACTAGGTCTTATTTTCAGGGGATTTTTTTCCACATACAACAATTTACTCTTATTCAAATACAGTCATGCCATCTTCTTCTGGTTGTTGCACAATGGTGGAGGGCGGGGTTTCACAACCTGAAAAATTATACTAGGGCTTATTTTCAGGGAAACAGGGTACATAAATACATAACAGAATTCTGAATATTAATATCAATTTTTCTAGTTACCTTTTTATCCTTACTGTAATTAAACATCATTTTTATTTACAATTTATCTGTAACCCCATTAACTCTCCAAATTATTTTAAACATGATTTTACCCTGTCCACAATCCTTAATGGGTTTTCTATTGTTAAGAAAGTATAACTCACAAATAATTCTACCTATACCCATGCCACAGATTAATTCATCTTTTCTAACCACATTCACCAACAGTTCTATAACAAAGGCAAACAGTATCAGGGAAAGTGGGCATTTTCATCTAGTACCACGGCCTAGGGATATCTGTTCTGTTCTGCCATCATTTACTAATACTGTTGCAGTGTTTTCTAAATATAATTGATCTAGCACACCTTTAAATTGCTTTCCAAAACCTAAAATTTTTATTATCATTTTTATGCAATCATTCCATGCAATCAAATGCTGTGAAAATATCCAGTAAAATTATTCCTTATAGCTTTTGTTATCTTATTATATTTAATACTCTCCCAGTCAATTTTGCATTGTCTTCCTAATATAAAGCCACTTTTTATCATTTTAAATATATTTAATAATAAAACTATTCATTCTCTTTGCTAATATTGCTGTTAAGTATCTTAGCATCTTGATCTCTTAAGGAAACAGTTCTATAAATCCAGGATCAGATGGATCTTTATTCATTTTTAAAATTAATACAATTAACAAGTGTTTCTATGATAATGGAATTTTTTCACCATTATTTTATTTTTAAAAGACTTTAATTTAGGTAGCAACATTTTTCTTAAAAAAATATATAATACTCCAATCTCAACCAGGCTGAATAAAAATCAGTGGTTTTTTAAATTAAAAAAACCCACCACTTTTTGATATCAACTATCAAAACACTCATTTTAAAAAAAAAAAATAAACTCTTGTCTCCATCTGTCCATTACGGGAATCTTTCCTACTTCTAATTTATTATTAATTTCCTCTTTCTCTTTTCTTCTCCAACTGATTGCTCATTAAATCTCTTAAAGTCTATTCTCCAAATTTTTCTCAATTTGATCCCTAATTCAAAGAAAGCTTCCAGCATATCATTTTTGACAAAAGTCTTGAAAGTTTTCCAAATTCTCCTTCTTCAAATTACATTTTACATTTTAACTACTCCAAATAATTTCTTAGCTTTTTAAAATTTGCATGGCTCTAGCTAACATTATCAAATATTTATTATTAAATTTAAAAACTATTTTCAAATATTCTTTAACTCTTTCCTTTTGGCTTGTAATTCTAATGGAATTTTTATTTCTATCCATTTATATGCTTTCACTCTAACAATCTTATTTCTTCCTCAACCTTTAACATGTTTTTCTCATTGCCTTTTCTATGATTCCCTAATACTAATTCCTTTCATCATTATTTTCACCGTAGCCCATATAGTACGTGTAACCCTCTTTATCATTAGTTCCCCACATTTCTGTGTTTCTTCTATTTTATCTATTATATAATTCTGCTGAAAAATACTTATATCTATCCTCCATGCTTTAGCAGAGATCTAAAAGTAGTAACTGGGAAGAAGAGTGGCTATACTGAACTAATCTTCCTATCCAGATCCAAAAGGGAGAGGATAACAGGGAAATGCAAACGGTGGCATAGCTTTCAGTAGTGTAGTAGGAAGGTATAGAAGAATCACAGTGAATTCCCCATTTCCTGATAATAAACACAAAAAGGCTCTCCCGGCATAGAAACCTGTCTTCTTTCTTAAATTTGGCACATTTTTTCAGCCTGATCCCACAGTACTCCTACTGGCTTCTAAGGAAAATGTTCTTACTTCCAAGAGCACCACAACTATGATGGAATTAAGCTGCATGCATGCAGGAGGAAAACTGATACAGAGAGTAGATTGGGGAAGAGTACACGAGGGAACAGAAGAACAGAGAAATATGAGCAAGAAATTATAAGCAAAGCATGAGCTGGAAACCTTAGATTTGCATTAGTATACAAGGGGTATGGGATAGATAGCTTTGACAACGTAGAAGGCAAGACATAGTCACGTTGACCAACAACATCCAACATTCAACATATCAAGATGCTATCTCTGTTGGGGCAACATGGGGAGAAAAGGCACAAGATATACATGCTTTTAGAGATGCCATCCTTTCCTTCAAACATAGTGATATCAAAGGTGGGGAAAGATGGAGAAAGGAAAGGGGAACTTTAAACCCTTAAACATGCCAGATCCTGTATTTTGCATGTCCCCATGCTAGTCCAATAGTGAGAAAAACAGAATTAAATTGAGAACACGTTTACTTTTAAATTCAGCTTACTTCGGGATTTCCTTTTTATTTTTATGTCCCCTTTCTGTACCTCTTCTCCAGCCTTTTGTAAAACTATGCTTAATGCTATCTACTATTTTGCAGGATTTTTAAAAAGTTGGCCTAATGAAAGGTATTACCATATTTTTTGCTCTGTAAGACACACCTCTCCATAAAATGCACCTCATTCTTAGGGGAGGAAAAGAGGGAAAAATATTCTGGCAATTTCTGTCTGCTAGGCCCGCAGTGGTGCAGGTGGGGGGAGCCTCGGAAGTGTCTGAGAGTGCCTTCCAGGACCCTTCAGAAGTTCCCACCACCACCATGGGGCCAGCAGGGGCGAAATCACCAGGTTCCAGGACCCTTCTGAGGCTTTCCATCCCTCCGCTGGCCCCTGGGGAGTGCTGTTTTACAGTATTTGCTACATAAGACGCAGACACTTCCCCCCACTTTTTTTGGGGGGGAGTGCGTCTTATAGAGCGAAAAATACGGTACTTGCATTTGAAGCTTTGCCAAGTAAAGGACTACAGCCTGTTAAAGGGATAAAGCAAATCCAGGTGCAATGTATGGAGATGTATATACAGTGGGGTCTTGACTTAAGAACGGCTTGAGTTAAGAACATTTTGACTTAAGAACCGCTCTCATAGGAAAATATTGACTTGACTTAAGTACTTAGATTTGAGTTAAGAACTGAAAAAAACCTACGTGGGAGGCAGGGAAAGTGCAAAATTTGAACTTTTAGTTAACTGTTGGCCAGTGAAAAGGGTGCCTGTCTGCTTCCTCACTCCTCCCAGCGTTTAGAGAGTGGATTGGGAGACAGTCTTCAGACTGCCTGGTACTGTACTGCCTGGACTGTATTTTCCCTGCCTTCCCTGAACCTTTCTTGACCTAAGAAAAAAAAGAAACAAAATATCCCCCTCTAGTGGTTGAAGGCGGAATAACAGCTTCCCATTAGTTTCTATGGACGGAAAAGAGCAGATACGGATCAAATGGTTTTCAATGCATTCCTATGGGAAATGCAGATTTCACTTGAGAACTTTTTGACTTGAGAATCGCCTTCCAATACGGATTAAGTTCTCAAGTCAAGACCCCACTGTATTGCATTTGTGCCTAGTAGGGCAGTAACTCTCTACCTGTGGTACATTTACCATCACTGGGACACAGAAGCCGCCTAGTTCAAATGCAGAGCTTGCTTAGCCATTATTAAGAATTCTCTATTCCTCATGTTCCCAGATGAACTACATTCTACCAATCCCAGAAGCTATGATTCATCTTTTCATGACCTTTTAGTGTGCTAAGAGTAATCTTGGGCATGCATGTCCTCTTATATCCCATTCTCCTGCACATCAAAGTTAGCACTTTTTCCTGTGCCTGGCCATGTATTCAATATATGCAAAAAGGATCCTCCAAATCCTCCACCTTCGTTTTTCTATTCCTGACTCACATTTTTTAAACTGTTCAATATGTATGGGCTGATGCATAGAAGAAACAGCAAGGTGGAAGAACAAGCTTTTTGTTCAAAACCCTGAGGACTAGAACCATATACACGGGTGCCTCGCTTAACGGGTGCTCCGTTTTACGACGAAATTGCATAACGAGGAAGTTTTTGCGAACGCAAAAGCGATAGCAAAACAATGTTTCCTATGGGGGAATTTCGTTTTGCGATGATCGGTTCCCTGCTTCAGAACCGATTCTCGCAAAACGGCGATTTTCCTACAGCTGATCGGTGGTTTCAAAATGGCCGCCGGGTAAAAAAATGGCCCCCCGCTGTTTTCTGGGACAGATTCCTCGCTGCACGGGCAGCGAAAATGGCCACGCTATGGAGGATCTTCGCTGGACGATGAGTTTCAAGCCCATAGGAATGCTTTAATCGGGTTTTTATGCATTTCTATGGGCTTTTTAATTTCGTTTTACAGTGTTTTCGTTCTACAGCGATTTCGCTGGAACGAATTAACATTGTAATGCGAGGCACCACTGTATTTTATTTGAAACACTGAATTTTTACCCCAGCTTGCAGAGGCTCCACTACATTAAGATATTTAAAGCTTTCTAAATGTGCTTACAGTTAACAGTTTCTTAACTTGTAATTAAAAGTGGACAGCCTGCCAAAAATGTTTATCCAACCAGAATTTAAATCATTTTGGCAGATTAGGAAAGAAAAAATAGTTATCCAAACAATCGAATTGCCATTAGTACTGCTGCTAATATGCATTGCCTCAGACAGCATTCATACAATAAATGCTTTGTAAAAGCAAATACTAGCCAGATAAAGGCATAAGATCCTGACCCCAAACAAAATATCACATTTTATCTTTGCGCAGGTAAAGCAAAAGCAACCATCTGAGAAGTGCCAGGAAGGTATTTATTTGTGTATAGATGTCATGCAAAAGAAACTACTTCAAAAACTGGGAGAGCAAGAACTGAAGATTCAGAAGATTCTTATCCATCAACTTTTAAAAAACTTTCTCACCTTGTTGGCTCGAATCTGCTTATAAATATCTGTTTGCTGCCGGATTCGGTACTCCAGATCTGAGACGTGCGCTTGTAGCCAGTTCCAGTGACTCACAATGGCTGCTCTGTCTGCTGCCCACTGCCATTCTGACCGTCGCCTCCTGGAAAGAGGGGGGAAAAAGAGCCATCTGTACCAATGACTGAGCACATGGTATCCCAACAGCCACCCATTCTTGACACTTTGCTTTTTTAAGTACATCAATATAAAAAAAGAGATGAGGGGTCCAAAAGCTATTTAATCCACAAATCAGTCTTTCTAATATGATCCCTTCCAGATACATAGCTGGCCAGGGGTTCCCAGAGTTGCAGTCTAACACATCCTGAGTGGGGGAAGTACGTATTAAATGAACATCCAATGTTGATCAATGACAACTAAATAATACGCAGATGGACAATTATGGCCTCCCCTCTAAAATCTGCCTACAACTCTCACCAGCTCTTGCCAGTAGAACCTATAGTGACAAATATGAGAACTGTAGTTTAAAAACATGTGGAGAGTGACAGTAGCCCACTCTTGAACTGAAGCACTTTTGCATGTTAATTCCTTTTACAAGCCACTTAATTCTACAGCTTCTCTAATCATCTTAAATGATGGCTTCTTAAAACACTGGATGACTTTCCAATTTCCTACAAATATTTCTATATAACTTGAATCTACTATTGCTGTTTCAATGTGACAACTGTTTGCCCCATGCCCTTTCAGCCTTCTTTAATATAATTTATATTCCTCTAACTTTTTATCCTCTGCAGTTCACCTTCAAATGGAATGGAAATTCCCAGCAGAGAAATAAGGAACAGAAGACTCCAAATAAGGTCTCACAGTACCAAACACAGAGGTATCCTTACTGCACGAGACCTGTTATCTGTGCAAAACACATGAAAAAGTCATTGTGTAAAAAAGAAGGTATCACAGTAACGACAGAGCTGGACTGAGATCAGAAAAGCTTTTTTACCTCTGACAAAAAGCACGCCAACATCCACCTCTTCAAACAACATGCCAAAATAAACCACTGCAGAAACAGAGGGAATATATGTCTGCTGCGTGCTTCCCACTCTTATTCAAAACGGGACACCATTCCTGCCTTTACTGACAATGTCACAATATCCTGTTTGGCCTTACACAGTGTTCCTTCATATTGGCTATACAATCTAGAATTACAGAGCTAGTATGAAAAAAAATGTTCTTTTCAGAAACCCATGCAAAACAGAAATTCTAAAAAGCACTGCATCCTATTCCACCACTATTCAAGTGTGTAAAGTCCGTATGTGTGTAGAGGAGTGCGTTAGCCCAGCCGTTCCGAATGTTGCTTTTAACATGTGACAGTGGCTATCTGAAGAACGGGTGTCTCTTTATGAGACAAAATGCCCCACCCCCCAAAAATTATTGTTCATTTGGCTAGGCTGTACTGACAGAACAGTGTCCCTCTTTTCAACCTGTCACTTTCACATGCTGAAAGAAGTGACAGAGGGGGCAGGACTAGAAGGTTCTTCTCAATGCGTGTGAAACACATAGAAGCATTTGGGATGGCCAGGGGAGGTGGGAAGTTGTTAAGACATTTTGCAACAATACAGAAAAACAACGGAGGACTGCTATTCCTGTAAATCTGCAAGTGAAGAAATTCTCTTGGACAGCAAGGCACAGGGTCTTGCTTTGAGATTGGGATTCTGTTGTTGTTTTTTTGTATGTTTGTTTGTTTTGGCCACAACTGGAAATGCATAACCTGTTGTGCTTCATGTTGAGAAAACTATACAGACAATGACATGGGGTGGGAGATACTTGCATCAGGTTTTGGGGGAAAGTCCCTTAGACATGTCAAAGTAGTCCATCTGATTTAAGGTATTTTCAAGCAGGTGTATGTATTTGTGCATGCATGAAAAAGTGCCCGGGGGGGGGGGAGAGACTGAAAACATTTGGCACAGCATGAGTAATACACTGCTGATTTATTCACAATGGCCCCTAAAATCCAGTCAGCAAATCTACTCATTGTATTGCACTGAATATAAATTTCTATCTCCTTATTAAAGTGATAGGTTAACTATCAAAATACAAACCAGGGTCAAAAGCTTTGTCCTGGATTGAGTACATATTGTACCAGGCCTGCTTTGGAGCAGACACACAAAAAGAATCAGCTAGCCTTAAGCCAAATAAACAGGGATTTATGGTGTAGAGGAAACCTATGCATACCTGCTTCCCCTATTTGGAAAGCTACCTTCTCCAATGACTCAGAAAGATATTCTCTCTCCTGTGAGGGACATACTATTTCAACCTTGCTCAAAGTCATTGATCTCAGAAGTTGTTAGCTTTTTTCTTTAGGACTGCCTATCAAAATCTCCTCAAAAGGACAAACACCATCTCAACGTGAAGTACAGAGAAATTAACAGGTTAGGAAAACTAAGAAAAAGAGATCTGTATTCACTTAAAAGGAAAAAAAATACTGAGAACAGATCAAAAAAAGATGTTAGTCCATTCATGTAGTCATTACACAACAGAGCTTCTTCTGCTCCTCTCTATACATACTGTATATCTACTTCCATCTTTTACACTAAAATATGCCAACGTTTTTGATTACACGGCCAAAACAAAACTGATCCACACAATAATGTTTAAAAACAACTTTTTGGAGAAGATGGTCAAAACATTTTTTACTAGAACATTAAGCTCCATCAACCTGAATCAGAACAAAACAATAACTCAGGACTGGCATCTATGAAGTAGAATTAAGCAACAGCCTTATCAAGCAGCCCAGAAGAATCTGCCTTCAGGATGAGATCTGGGTGTGACAGAAATCTCTGATGATCTACCATGAGCAAACTACCCAGAGATCTACTCTCCCCCCCCATTCTAGGAGTTCTAATTAGATGTATTACTATTACTAATTGTATTTATATGCTGCATTTCTCCAATAAAATTCACACAATTAAAAACACAATAAGTTAAATATTAAAAGACAAATTAAACAATTCATAATTTAAAATTAAATTAAAATATTAAAACATGGAAAAGATTAAAATTATCTGCTAAAAGGGGGTTCAGGGATTCAGTTCTAATTGTTAAAAGCCTGCCTGAAGAGATGGGTCTTTAGTGTTTTTCAGAAGCATAAAAGGGAAGAGGCCATCCTGATCTCCCCTTGACATGTTTAGTACACGTGGCCCGCCTGTCCTGGCAACTGCTTCAGTTCCTTTTTGCTGCCACTGAGGCTTCATAAACTTATGCGCAAGCGAAGAGCAAACCCTATATTGTGCATTCAGAGATCATGAAGAAGAATTAAGGTTTGCACCATGTGCATCCCGCCCCTGGTATTATCCTCCCTTGTTTTAAAACTGAATGTATGGGACTTGCATGAGTTGCATGTGGCAAGACTGAAACAGAACTCAACCCAAATCAAAACTCTTACAGGAAAGATGCAAATGATAGAGTTCAAATTTGCAGCTGACACATACCTTGGAATCATTCTTCCACGCTAGAACGGGAAGAAAATTTCTGACTTAAGCACTCATAATATTTAATCCCAACTGGATTTCCCTATTGCACCCAAGCAATTTTCTACAGTAGTTTTTCTCAAAGCTTGGCTTCTGAGGTTGAATCTAGAAACACAATGTAATACAACTTGGGAGAATCCTGAGGCAGTAGAAGATATGGTTTCCAAATGTACCTATCCTGATCCTCTCTTTTGAGGCTCTTATCAGTGTACCTAAGCACTATAATAGATGAAATGAGCAGGGTAGATTTGATTTAAATCAATTTAAATGTTAAAAATTGGATTTTTTTTACTACTTATATAAAAATATTTTTACACTATATGACCCTAGCAAATCCTTTCCAATTCTATGGTTGTATGACCTTTATTTTTCCCAGGCCTTTGAAACAGATAATAGCTTTAATCTATTTTATGCATGCCACTTATTTCATGCTGTGTTTGCATTCAATAGCTGTTTTGGTTTTGTTCATCAAATTTTTACCAAATGTATTTTTATCTCTAATAATCTGTAATATAAACTGCTGTGAGAACCTGATTAACATGTGCCCTATAAGATAAACAAGAAAAAAAGAGACAAGTCAGCTTTAAAGAATGAGTATGTTAGGAAGTGCAGCTTCACAGCAAGCACCAAAAGTAAACCACAACGACTATTGTCCTCTCTCTGTTATTTTACTAAAGGAAACATACAGAGATTTGAGGTTTGCATAAAGGAGATAATCAAAAATATGCAGTGTGTCGTGCAAAAACATCGCTTTCCTCTGATTGACTACACAGTTCAATAGATATTGTAAATTGGCAAAAAAATCTTTGAGGTCCTATTTCTACCCTCAGAAAGGAAACCACATGTGGTATAAATATATGAAATGGAATGGTGGCAAAATAAAAATAGTAATGAATAGCATAGGTAAAGGTTCCCCTTGACATTTAGTCTAGTCGTGTCTGACTCTAAGGCGTGGCACTCATCCCCATTTCCAAGCCATAGAGCCAGCGTTTGTCCAAAGACAATCTTCCATGGTCACATGGCCAGCACGACTAGACACGAAACACCATTACCTTTCCACTGAGGTGGTACCTATTTATCTACTTGCATTTGCATGCTTTCAAACTGCTAGGCTGGCAGGAGAACAGCATACTCCTTCACAAACTTCCCCTATCTTCCTGGGAAGTTCAGAAAGAATATGTTCTTGGTCTGGTGGTTAAAACGTAATGAAGAGGAATGTGCTTTCTCTTTAAACATTACTTTTGAGTCACTATTAGTATTTCCCCCCTCCTTCTCATGTCTTTGCCAGCATTCCTGAACAGCATCCTCAGCTCAGTGATTTTCCACAGTCATAATTTCCAAAAACAAAAACAAAGCAAAAGGGAAAAGAAATGAGGATGGCATTATATCAAGCTCCTTAAACATCTCCTGACCTCAGCCTCCTTGTATTTCATCAGATGATTTGTCAGGCTATCACTCAGATCATTCCCTTGCAAGAGTACACATTAGAACAGCTTTCCCCAAAACTGGGTCCCTCTAAATGTGTTGGAGCTACAAACTGCAGCATCTTCAGCCAACATGGCCACTACACATTAACCCTGGAAATGTGTTATCCAGTGCCTCTGAAGCAGGGAGTTGCAAA